GGGTCTTGGTACAGGTCCACTCTGAGACCTCATTCAGATGGCCGTAATGATTTCCACAGGGTGCCAAGGTCCTCTATAAAAAGTGGTCCGTATGCATATGTTTGTACTAACCTTTTACATGTGCACAGCTTAAATGGACCCCATTGGCCACAACTGGGGACACCATGTTGATGTTTACATCTACTTTTGAATGAATCGCTTATGCAGCGGCACATACACGGAATGACCTCGGCCTCCTGTCGTGTAGAGAGTAAATTTGGTGCAAATACAGACCGTGAACACAGATTTTTGTAGTATGCTTTGGTTGGCTAAACACTATGGACCAGTGTGAATGGGCCCCGTACTATACAACACTGTGGTGGTTAGATCCGTATGAATTGCTGATCTGAATGCAGCGTATTGTACTCCCCTGTGCATGAGTCTTAAAGCGGATGTTTAATCTGATTATATTTCGCCTTTCCTTTTTCCCCGCTCATCAAAATTCTAAGGACATTTTTAAAGAAGAACTCTAGAAAAGCAAGGGTTACCCGCTTATTTGTGTCTAGGTTAAAAAACAAAGTTAGACTCCCCTGAACCTCCAAGCCAGCTTCTTAGACCGGTCCTTTCAGTGTCTCTCCCCCTCCTCTGCAGTGGTCTAAGGTCCTGTAAATCATTACATTCTATACACTGTGTATAGACATGAGGACACTGAGGTAGATTCCAGTGCTGAAGGTAGAGGGCGACAGGCTGGAGGGAGTGCCGTGACGGCTTCAGCTGAGTATATCTTTGTTATTTTAGCACCTAGACGAGCACTCAACTCTTGCAGTGCCCAGGTAGCCCCACTGCAAGAGTTATTAAAAACAAATTCCTGGAGTTTTTCTTTAAATGAAACCTTTCTGTTTTTGGACTTGCCTTAGGTTACACTCAGTGATGGTATCACTGGGTCTCTGTTTTTCTTTATGCAATGCAGGGAGATGAGGACTGGTGGGAGGGGCCAGCAGGGTGTTGTACAGATTCCTTAAAGCATCACAGCACCTGCCTCAGTTCTGCTCTCCAAAACCCTCAGCCCTGATGCAAACAGTGGGCTGGCTCTTGGGTGGCGTTCTGTTAATATCAAAGTGCCTTAGGGCAGTGACACCCACTCACTATCGAACACCTACATGTGATGCTGAGCTGCCATAATTGAAAGAGCTGAAATCCAATGAATGAAAGGGGTGGGCCAGGGGCAGTAAGGCTGGGGAGGTCCTTCAGCCAATAGGTGGGCACTGTCTGATTTGCTGCTAAGTACACTGTGAGAAGCTCACAGTGTGCAGTAAAAAACGGAGTAATATGATTCATTACATGAGAGGAGCTGGTACAACAGTGCAAGACTAATAAGCAGGGGCTGGGTACTAGGCTCGCTTATGTCATCCCTACCCACAGGAATCTTTTCTTTCACTTTCTGACTGGGACTGACTTCTATTATATTCTCCATGTGCAGCATTCATCTACAGGCATTTGGTGGACAAAATAAAAATCACTCCACAGGGATGTCAGAACCAGAGCCGGTAACTATTCTTGTGAAGTCTTGAGCCATTTAAATAAACAAGGTACACACAAATAAATAAAACTCGAATGTTAGGTGCCACTGTCATTTTATGGAGCATTGACTAACTGGCTCCTGGGATTTGTCCAACCCTGAGTTAGTCTATTAATTATCATTGGTGTGCAGTGTAGACTGCAGACAATGTCAATATAAACAAAGGAATGTATACACTGGCTTGGGCTCTGGATGAAAGTTGTGCATGCACATGGGGAAACCAACCAGGGCAAGGGGTTATTGTCGAGTGACTAGAAATATTTGCACTTTTCATTCATTAGCACACATAAGTCACCTTATCATTTAGGTAATTTTTCTTTTTAAAAGGATTACATTCGGAGAAATTAGTTCACTTTTTTGCATGCTCTTAGTTGGTAGTATGTAGGTTGTGTTTTTTTTTTTTTCTGCACTGTTCTGTCACCTCGCACTTAGCTTAGCAGCCCTTGTCTACTCCCTCGCGACTATCAGGATTCCGTCAGACCTATTCATATCACAACTGCTGCAGGAACACAGTTGGCAACCTTGTAAAATACTTTGTAGGGACACCTTGTCACTGAGCTTTTACAATCGGGCTCCTTCGTATGCCAAGGGGACAAGTAAAGGGTATATAACCAAAGATAATGTATTTGTGGAGGTCAATTAGGAACGCCTTAAGGTGGCCATACACTAGTAGATTCTCAGTCGAAAATACACCCTCCCCCACGAACGGTCTTTCGAACACTTGATGGTACTTCACCAATTTTCATTTTTGATATTGCGATGGAACTTTTTTGATCGGTCAGGTTGGAAAAATGTTTTCGTACTGAACAAAAATCGATGAATCAGTGGGGTTTTCATTAGGGATGCACCGATACCGGTATTTTGGTACCGGGTACCGATAATTTTTTTTTCGGTACTCAGCGATACCAATTACCGAGTAACAGAAGTCCCATTCAGGAAACCAGGTGGTGTGTAATGACTTCCTGATTAGCCGGGAAGCAGGGCAGCGTGTAAAGACTCGTCACCCGGCTTCCGGATTAACACAAAAGTCCCCTCTTACCTTAGTATGTGCAGCCTGTCACCCCCGTGGCCTCTCCAGCGAAAACGCAGCCTTCCTCCAGTACCCAGCCGGAGCCGTCTGGCCGACCAATCAGGATGGCCGCATTCTTGCTGTAGAGGCCCCGGGGGTGACAGGCTGGACATACTAAGGTAAGGTAACCTTACCTCACGAGGCCAGCTTCCTGATTGGCCGGGAAGTACTCGTGCTAGGCATCGGAGCATTTAGGCAAGTGACGAGAGAGCATGGAGCCGCTTCCCGGCTTCATTGATACCGGAAGTACTCGTGCTAGGCATCGGAGCATTTGGGCGAGTACGAGTTCTCGCCCAAATACTCGGAATCGGCACCGATATCGATACTAGTATCGGTGCATCCCTAGTTTTCATTCATGCAAAATCAGCAAGAACACAGCAAATGCGCAAAGATAAATGTATTTCCGTCATTCATCAAAAATTAGTTGGTTAGTATAGCTAGTCAGTGGTGACTGTTCACATCTTAGCAGATTGAGGACATACTATGTCCTCAATTATGTGCAAACACTCACTGAGTGTTTGCACTCGCTCTCCTCTCTGACACGCTGTCACAGGCGGCTGAGCAAGCGGTGCAGGGAGGAGGGCACAGCCTCCTGTGACAGCGCGGGCTGTCTCCGCACACACACCGCCCTGCCGGACTGTGATAGGAGGCAGAGCGGTGTGGGAGGAGAGACGCCGGCCGCTCACAGCGCTCTCCTCCCGCAGTGCTCGGCCGGCTGTCACACTTTCTCTCTTCCCTGCAGGCGGATGCCATGCAGTTTTGGTCTCATAGACATCTCCATGCAGGGAGGAATGCGCGTTTTTAAATGCAAAAACAATCGCAAACAGTGGGCGGGAGCAATAGCCAGCGGAATCTAGCCTGCGGCAGATGAATGGGGCTGAGGGGAGCACAATGGAGACATTAGATGTGGGGGGCACACTGGAAGATTGTGGGGGGGCGGGCATACTGGGGGCACTGGATGTGTGGAGGGGACACTGAAGATACTGGTTGTAGGGGACACACTGAAGGCACTGGTTGCAGCAGCAGCAGGGTGCCTGCCAGCGGAGGCTGTCACTTTCAATAGGAAGCTATAAATGAGAGTATTGATTATTGCTTTTAACATAGGTCTGGAGGGGATCTCTCATCTTGCCCAGAAAAAGACTCTTCATGTTGTAATTTGATTTTAATGCAAAGTTAAAAAGTTGACTGTGATTTGTGTACTAAGAACAACAAAGTGCATTATATACGACCCGCTGACTGTCCTGCTGTAAGCAACTCTATTAACAGTAATGAACTGTTTAGTCTATATAGCTCTGAGCCGCGCTGTTAGAGTGAATGGAGCACACCGTCCAAGTGTAATCTGATTGCTGTAAAACTGACATATGTAGACACAGTGAATGAGGACAAACTGTTTTCTGCTTCCAGACCATTTTACATTTTACTTAAAGGGTTAATAATCCCTCAGCGTTTTTTGCATATATCTACTGATGTACTAGATATGTGCAAAAACATTTTAAAAAAAACCCTTTTTCAAACAGGTTAAAACGTACCTGTTTCTTCACTGTGCGCTTCCATCCAAACATCTGAAGTGTCGGGTGGCCACAAAGGATCTTGGGGCGGCCACATGCGCAGTTCAGATCTTCGGGCGGGAGACGAGGAGAGGCACAAGGTAAGTCTATGGCGCAGCGGGCACCCGCACAGACTCCGTGGGACAGGAAGGACCAGCTAACACAAAGGAGTCAGCGCTGGATCAGAGACCCGCACCAGTGCTGGAGGGACAGCTGAAAACTACAGGAAAGAAGATGATCGGATCAAGAGGCATCGTTCAAGTTAAGTCCCTACAGTAGGATTGTGAAGGGGCAAAGAAAAGTTTGACTTTAATGTCACTTTAACAGTGACCATACATTACAATATACTTAACTTTTTTTTTTTTAAAGAGTAATTCCAAGTTAAATGAAACCTTTTCCTGGAAAAACCAGGACAGATTCACTTAAGGGGGCTGATTTATAAAGAGTTTGTCCGGCGTATAGCCGGGAGAGCGACATTAACATGGCAGTATTGCCACTAGATGGAGCTGAGGAGTACAGGAAACTGCTAAGCCCCTCAGCTTTATTTAGTGGGAGTAATGCCCTGCGAACTGCATTTCCTGAGCTGCACACTGGTCAGTCACTTTATTAATCAGCCCTTATGTGTGTTGGAGCGCCATTCGTTGTGAATAACACCTGTATAGCAGGAGCCTATGCACAGCACACCACACTGCACATACAGAAAGATAAGGTAAGTATTAGCTGCAGCAGGGCCTGGCATTGATGTTAATCTTTCATCCTGTATATACAGTGAACAGGTACACATAAGTACAGCTGAACAGGAGCTCTCAGTTGTATATTTGTTGCAGATATTTACAAAATGGGTTTAAAAGCAGCCCGTCAAGCAAGATTATGGAGCATGTGAGCTGCACTGTGTCTGTGTTGTAGCTTTTGTTCATGCTAAGCCCATTATAGCAGGCTTTTAAGTACTACATAATAGAGCTTTGTGACTGAAGCATAACTGGCCATTTACATTATATAGGAAGATAAGGGGCCCATAGCAGTTACCACCAGTGGAGATGGTGCTGGCTAATTTTAGATGTAAGCTTGTTGACAAACTCTGAAACTTTTATCTGCTGAATTGGATCTGCAAACGATTAATATCAGTTCAAATTCTAGTACTGCTTGCATTATAAAAAAAACTACAGCAAATCCTTTACATAGAAACAAGTTCCATTCTGAGTGCACGTTCGTAAGTCCGGCCCTGTATGAAGTATTTTGACAGTGGCTGGTGGCCGCTGTCAGAATCCAAAGAAAAAACAGCATATAGCAGGGGAAGCACTCGCTCCCCTGCTAACTGCTGATTCCCCTGCAATCGCTTTTGTTTTGCTTTTTAAACCTTGACAGCGGCTGCCGGCAGAATAAAAAATAAAAAAAACGACCAATAACAGGGAAATGAAAAGCTAGGCTGCTGTTGCCCATTTCAAATTGCAATAGCAGGCTGGCTATTGCACCCACCTACTGCTGTTGTCAATCAACAGAGGAGGACCTGAAAGAGAACTTCATTTAACACAATAAAAAAAAAACAGATGGCAGGGGAATCAGCAGATAGCAGGGGGAGCTAATGCTTCCCCTGCTATCTGCTGTGTTTTTTCTTTGTATTCTGACAGTGGCCGCCATCCATATTGGTCGATCCCTAATGTGAATGTATGTTTGCATCTTTAAAAATTCGTAACTTGAATGTTTGTAAGTAGGGGACTTAATGTATTAATGATTTTGTTATTCTATTTGCCTAGAGTTACGCTTAACTATATAAAATTGTGAACTATTTTATCTGCCAAAAGATTTGTCAGCCAGCCAGGCCAATGTATTAAATATTCTCTGCTGCGTTTAGGCATTACACCTAGATCAGCGTCCCATCCCAGCCAGTGATTGGATATTGAAAGAGCAGCAGCACACTGGTGGTGTCATCCCTGTTCTCGCTTCACCAGTAAATATGCTCTCAGTGTTGGGCAGTCAATGCTGTGCAAAGCAATAGTGTTTTTTCCCTGAGTATTGCAGTGCAGGATGTTTTAGG